TTTACCAGAGGTGGTGCAAATCTTCATTGACGACGCGGGGATCAAGGGTCCAAAAGTCGATTACGGCGGAGAAGTCCTACCCGAGAATCCCGGAATACGGCGCTTCATCTGGGAGTACGCCGTGGCACTGGAGCGAGTCCTGTATCGGATTGAGTTTGTGGGCTTGACGGTGTCAGGGAAGAAGTTTGCGGTGTGCGTACCGGCTCTGGATGTTTTGGGCCACGAAGTGTCTTGTCGAGGGAGGTCGATTGCGGCCTCTAAGAAGAATAAGGTCTTGGAGTGGCCGACCCCTCAGACACCATCACATATCCTTCAGTTCCTCGGTTTGTGCAGTTTTGTGCGGATGTTTATCGAACATTTCGCGATAGTAGCCAGTCCGCTGCGGAGGCTTACGCGGAAGGGTGCGGAATGGTCCTGGACGGAGGCTTGTGAGGCCGCGTTTGCGGAGTTGAAGCGGATCGTGGGACTGGATATCACCTTGAAGGACCTTGATTATAGTAGGGGGGGTATTCGGTTGGCGGTCGACTCTAGCGAGTTCGGGGCCGGTGGCGTGCTGTCTCAGGAGGAGGAAGGGAAGGACCGTCCGGTGTTGTACGAGTCCGTTACCTTCACTGAGGTCGAGTCGCGTTACTCTCAACCTAAACTGGAGTTGTGCGGAGTGACCAAGGTGGTGCGGAGGTTGCAACATCTCCTCTGGGGTGTTTTCTTCGAGTTGCTTGTTGATGCGGAGGCATTGGCGAGGATGATCAATTCTCCATCTCTTCCAAACGCTCCGATGACCAGGTGGGTGGCGTACCTTCAACTCTTCTCCTTTCAGGTGGTTCACGTTCCGGGAAAGGCCTTCACTATGCCAGATGCCTTGAGCCGAATTCCGTTGATGGAAGGGGAGGACCGGTTTGCGGAAGCAGAGGAGCTAGACGTGGAGCGGCGCCTGATCGAAGTGCGGACGGCAGGAGTGGACACTGAAGGTCTTCCTCTTGCCCAGTCAGGTCGGTACTCGGTTATGGTGTACTTCTTGACGCACTTGGCGTACCCGGGAAGTACACGGATCTGGTGAGCGGTGGGGTACGGCGAAAGAGTGC